TAAAAATGTTCTGTAATTTAGGATGGAAGGAGCAACTACTTTATTAGAAAGTGAGATTTGATTAAAAATATCTTATTTTGAATGAAATGAGTATTTGATTAGCTATGAAAATGAGTAATATTTGACGGAAAAGAAAATGTTTGGTTTGTATAAAACATGGGAAAGAAAGGAAATTGGAAATAATAGATGCTAAAATGCCCGTACCCATAAAAAAAAAAAAAGAATGTAGAAGTCCAAAATAGGCTTTTATACAATCTCACCTTGATAGATATAAATTTATATAAATTAATTATCGATGATTGTTAGGTCGAACGTTTCTTTCCAACTCGTAAAAATATAAATTTTAAACCTTACAGGGTAAAAAAAAAAAAAAAGCTTTGTCACAAATGACTCCCAATACTCAATTTTAATTTGGATATCACATAGATAGTCATATAAAACATATTTAAATTGATTGAAGAAATTATTGCCAAAATTGATTGCAGCGCATAATCAAAAACCAATTTTGATTTGGAAAAATGATGAAAAAAATCTCTCAAATTATAAAAATAATAATTTGATTTCTAAAAATACTATAATTCTACTGAAATACTATATAGAGATTTTTGTGTCAATAAATTTTAAATTAAAAAGACTATTTTAATTTTATTGATAAGTTGTGATTTTTTATTTGATTCTTTGAATAAAAATTATTATTTTTTATATAAAATTTGTGATTGAGGCTTATTATTTTAAAAATTTATTTTTAAATTATAAAAATTATACTTGATAAATTGTGATTTTTTGGTTAACTTTTGCGATTTATAAAATAAAAATCGTTATTTCTTTAGTGAAAGTTGATTGAGGTTTATTATTTTGAGATAAAAATTACACTTAATAAGTTGTAATTTTTAGTATAATTTTTATGATTTATAGAACAAAAATTTTTATTTCTCTAGTAAAAATTATGATTGGAGCTTATTATTTTCAATAAAAATAAAATAATTTTTTTACTTTAAATTTTATTGACAAAAGAAGTCCATAGAAACTTAAGTGAAATTATGACATTTTAAGAGACTAAATTATCATTTACTTTCTCCATTAAAAAATATAAGGCATTTTTTGAAGGGTTAAATATTAAAAAATATAAGGCATTTTTAGTTTTTCAAGGTGTAATCATTGCTTTTTTAAAAAAAAAATATTCATATTAACAATGACTTTATATTTATTGGAGGATATTTAATAGGAATAAATATAAAAAAATAGAATTAATTTAAAAGTAGGTAATTACTTTATTGGGAGGTGAGATTCAATTAAAAATATTTTATATTTTTAAACGAAGGGAGTACATAATTTAAAGAAATTTTAATTTATTTTCATTTTCCTTTTGCTTTTGAATGAATCAGAACCTTTTTAAGTTTATGGTTGGTGGCTTACAAGTTATAACAAATAGCATACATGCATGTGATTTGAGAAATATTTTGAGAAATATACCAAAGAGTATGGTTAACTTAGATTATGCGAACTCGTGAATCTGAGTCGATATGACTCTTTTTGATAATCCTGTATATCGCCTTATGTAATATACATACTAGTATTCATATGATTTATGAATAGTAAATTAGAAAGAAAAATATATTATAATTTAAGGAAAACAAAACTCTAAATTTTTACATTTTACCCGAGTTTCGTTATAAGTTATTATATATTTTTTTTGTATTCTAGATTTTTATTTTTTTTAGTATTCTAAGTTACTTCATGATTGATGTTATAAGAACCTAATGTAAATGAAAAAAAAAATGTAAGAACTTAAAAAATTACAAAAATAATAATATGAGGATTCATAATAAAACTTGAACAAAATGTAAGAATTTAAGTTTATATTTTTTTAATAATTTATAAATAATGTGTTTGGGATTAATATTATTTTTATATATATTTTTATCCAGGAATCAAAAAAAATTATTCACGATCAATATAATAAATCATTATACAAAATAAATTATTATTAAAATGAGTCCCCGAGTAATGAGATTTTTCACGAAAAAGTAGCCCACCGTTGAATTTATTGGAGAGCTGTGAAGTTGGGTAGGAGGCAGTATCCCATTTGCCACTCTCAAGTAGGGGTGTTCATGGGACGGGATGGGATCGAAACACCCCCGTCCCGTGTCCCATCCCGAAAAAAAGATCGGGACTGAATTTTGGTCCCGTGTCCCGTCCCGTCTCGAAAAGTCGTCCCGTCCCGTTAAGAGTCGGGACGGGACCGGGACAAGATCGGAACGTCCCGCCGTCCCGATAAATGAAATAATATCGAAAAAAGATTTAGATAATAACGTTCATTAAAATTTTAAATCATATAATTTATTAAGTTTAAAATCAAAATAACACAAGCACATAAATAACAATAATTTAAAATCAATTATTGAATTATATTAATCATAACTACATATTATAATAATAAATATAAGTGATCTTTATGCTATAAGATTAGCAACAACAGGCAAGTCAAACACAACATCAAATCATTATTCTTCTACTTTAGTGAAAATGTACTAAGCTAATTATTCTTCTAAAAATAAGCAAGAAATATGTTATAAATAAAATTTATTAAATAGATAGATATAAGAATAAATTATATTAATATAATTAATATATTATAAAGAAAGATATCGCCATATTTACTCTATGCCATTAAAATTATCAATATAAAAAAACTTTAGTTTTAAATAAGAATTGCAAGTATTAAAATTATAATTGATATAATTAATATAAGTATAAATTATATTAATATAATTAATATATTTAAAATAAAAAATAATATATATAATATTCGGGACGGGACGGGACGTCCCGATGGTAATCCCGTGTCCCGTCCCGTCCCGAACCCCTTTCCTGTCCCGTCCCGTAAAGTCCCATCCCGATTATTTTTGGGCCGGGACAAGCCCGTCCCGATATGATCGGGATGATACCGGGCCAATCGGAACGGGTCTAGGCTGAACACCCCTACTCTCAAGTGAGCGCATATATCCGCTTCCAGCCTGGCATGCGTCAGCTTTTTGCCTTTTACTCTCACTGGATAATTTTTTATTTATATTTATATTTTTTAAAAAAATATAAAATATTTTTAATAAAATTTTATCACTTAATAAAATAATTAATTATTTTTAAATTAATTTTATTTTTTATATTTATCTCTATTAAATACTCTATAATAAATATAAAATTATTATTAATAAGAATATTTAAAAAAATAATTATATCATAAAAAATTAAAAATAATTTATATTTTTAAATATTTAACACCTCAGAATATATTTTATTTTTTGTGACAGGGGAAGTACATGAGCAACATTGATGTCAAAAGCGAAAAACTTTACCAATTGCAATTACCGTCGATTTGACATTTTAATTTTTTTTAATTTATATGGTTAGAACAGGTGGAAGTTGTGGAATTTATATTAAAAAAATATGGAGTCTGGGCCATGTGACGTCATAGTAAAAAATGAACATGCAAAAATTTTTAATTTATACACGAATCATAATAAATACTCCTTTTTTAATATTTGTTTTTTATTATAATATATACTCCTTTCATTTAAAAATATAAGACATTTTTAATTTTTTAAAATTTAATCATTGTCTTTTTTTAAAGTATTTCTATTGATAATAATTTTATATTTATTGTAAGATATTTAATAAAAGTAAATATAGAAAGATAAGGTTTGTTAAAAGTATGTAATTACTTTATTAAAAGGTAAAATTTTGTCAAAAATATCTTACATTTTTTAACAGAAGGAGTAATAATTTTTAGAAGTTCTCTTGGTCTGAAAATTAAGCAATTGGTATATTTTATTTTTTATTTATACCTTTATTTTACACTGTCTTTGGTCTATATTATAGGGCCTTCTAAAAGAATTTATCAATCCGTAGCACAAGACACTGGACAGGGCATTAATTACATTTTTATAATATTATTCATATTTAAATTTATTTATTATGAGAGAAGATATAGGAAATTTTTAAAAATTTTATAACACTATTTACCTATCTTTTTATTGAAATGATTAAAATGCCTGTTTCATTTTATTCTCATCCCCATGCATCACACGGGGGGTAATATCTAGTTACTAGTTATAGTTAAAAATAGAAAGTTTTAGAACTCTAAAAATCTCAAAAGTTAAAATTATTTTTTTCTGAATTAAATATTAAATGTTGGAGAGTTTTCACCATTTCTACATTAAAATTTTAATTATAATAAAATTTTTATAATTTAATGTTCAAAAATAAAATTTATCTCTCAAATGATAAGTTATTAATTAACATTAACATTAACAATATACTCTAAAAATTGTAATTCTTGACCATTAAAATCATATGGGTAGAATATATGGTAAATTTGAGGTAAGGTTTGAAACGATACTAGAAATAGAATCATCAAATCAAGCGATAATGACAGCATTGGAAAAAGGACAATGAAATTGGATTCATTAATGAAGAAGAAAACGATAACTTGTCAAAACCAATTACCATGATTTTTAAACCAAATTCAAATTGGCGGGTTAATACAATAAACCGATGAATTAATCTTCTGATTAGTCTAGTTAAGAGTTTGGGACAGATTGACAGGTCATATTTCATATAAATTTTTTCACTTTGCTTAGCCTAAAATATGTTTTTGAGTTTTAAAAACTCATGACTAGATTGACTCAATTGTTTAACCATAATTTAAAACATCAAACCTTGAACTACTATCTCAACGGGTTGAAGTTCAATGATGGGTCTGTGTTTCAGTACCAAATATTGACTAAAAATGTTATATTTTAATTGGCCTATAAAGTTGGTTGTCTTCCCAACTTAGGAGAATCATTCTGCTTTGTAAAATTTATATGACGCGACTAAACCCATTATTTTATGCAAATTGACAGTGACATTTTTGTATATATCAACCCTATCTTGGGATTTTTTTTTTTTGGATGGAACTCTACTTTAGATTAATCTAACTTTCCATTGGCACTACTACGTATTCAAACACATTGTCTTTTTTTCAAGTGATATATATAAGTACAAGCTTCAAAAGCATTCGAAAATACAAGTAGGGACTTAACCTTCTTGTTTTGCCCCTAATTGCATGATACATAAAAATAAATAGGAACCTCAACAGGGATTTTCACTGCAAATTCACGAAGAAATCCCTTTTTTATCTTTAACAAAAAAAGAAAATCAAAACGGAAAGGATAGATATAATCTATAAATATTAATTAAAAGCAGAGCACTGTCATCTAAGTAGCTGAACCTTGTCGTCGTCGTCGTCTTCTTCTCAGAGCTTGACGACCTCAGGTATATGAACAGGGTAGCGATCGATACAATCAGCCCAAGGTCCATCAATGGGCGTCTTGATGCTTTTGTTGCACTTCCACACAGCACTGTTACACTTAAACCCACTTCCGAAGGCGATCTGCCACACTCTGTCACCTTTCTTCATCCTCCCTTTGGACTCGATGTAGTTCAGCTCGTACCAGAGCGACGACGATGACGTGTTGCCGAAGCGGTGCAGAGCCATCCTGGACGCCTCTACGTGCTCCGCCGACAGCTGGAGGTTCTTCTGCAGCTCGTCGATCACGGCGCGGCCGCCGGCGTGGATGCAGAAGTGCTCGAAGGCTTGCTTGAAGTCGGGGATGTATGGCTTCCACTTGGGGTTGAAGATTTTCCGGCCGATCAGTGTCAGAAGAAAGAGAAGCTGCTCGGAAGCTGGCAGAACCAGAGGTCCCATGGTTGTGATGTTCGATTTTAGAGCTTCACCTGCCATTGTAGTAAAATTTTAGTACCATAGCAATGCAAGCAAAACGTTACGTGATTTAAATAATATTTTTACTGTTGCCGAAAAAATATTTTATACTATTTTATAGACAAAGTAATATTCACTGTTCAGTTTTTTTCCGGGTTAAGTACGGTACGGCGTACGCTCTGCGGATGGCAGAAACTATGGTGGTGTTTGAAATTATTTTTATTTTATTATTTAAAAATTGTTATTTTATAAAATATATTTTAAAATATAAAAATAATAAAAATATGTTTTTTTTCATTCTCCCTTATTTTTTAGAACAATAATTTTAAAAAACTTAAAAATTATTTTTATTTTTTATTCTTTAAAATAATATTTTATTTTTTGTTTTGAAAAATAAAAAACTGTTTTTAGAATAAATTATCAAACAAGGCTTATATTTTTAAGATATGACAAACTAAATTATATATATATATATATATATATAAAGATTGAGATTATTTTTTTTTTCCTACCAGTTGCAGGAGGAATATTCTGATCCCAAAAAATTGATTCAACAATTTCGGCTTCACATTTAATGCCAGAGATAAATTCAGGTTGTTTGGCCTGTATCAAATTTGGGCCAGACTGGAAAGGTTTTGTTTAAAATTGGATCTAAAACCAAGTGTTTCTCGGCCAACTGATTTTAACGTAAACAAAGTACATATAATTTATTAGCTTTCAAGATATGGTGATTTGATCTGAGCAAGCTTATTGAAAAAGATGATGTCATTTTCAAAAGCGTATTACCTTTTTTAGAAATAAAATTCGTTTTTTCCTTTATTATCAAAACCAATTCTCCATCATTATATTAATAATATGTGAGCAATATATCAATCAATCAATATAAACTATAAAAGTTACAGTGAGTCAACTTTTCAAAAAATAAAATAATTTTTTAATTACTTGCTCCTCAAATTCTTCTAATTTTGTCCAAGGCATGAAAAGCCTGTTATCTTAATTAGATATATAATACATTAGAGAACTTTTAGCCAAAACAGTTTCAATCATGCCATGCATAATATATTTTTGTAACATTTTTTATTCAAAAAATTTAATCTGCCGCTTAATAATACACATGTATATATATAGTAAGTAAGCAATATGTCACTTTGGCAAAAAAAAAAAAAAAAAGCAGTATGTCACCTGCAATGGCCATGAGGTCCTTGGACAGTGAAATCCCCACCTTCCCTTCTTTATCTTCCTCTTCATACACACACCTGAAGGCCTTATCATCGGCTCCCTTGTGGGTTCGAACCACGTGGACCAGTCTGTACTTGGCTCGCCGGCGCTCCGACCTCCGGTTCGACAGCAGTATCGCCGCCCCGCCCATTCTGAACAAGCAGTTCGGCAAAAGCATGGCTCTCTCGTTTCCCTGATAATAGTTCGGAGTAATAATCTCCGTGCTCACCACGACGGCGTTCGAGTTCGGATGCACCTGAAGAAGGTCACGAGCCAAGTCGATGGAGATCAACCCGGCGCTACAACCCATCCCGGATAAATTGAAGCTCTTGATATTACTCCTCAGCTTGTACTTGTTAATCACCATTGCCGACAACGACGGCGTCGGCGAGAATAGACTGCAATTCACGATCAGAATATCGATGTCCTTAGGTTTCAGCCCGGTTTTCTCGAATAGCGAGTCCATGGCGGAGAATATCACTAGCTCGGCCTCGTCTCTGGCGGCTTCCATGGTTGGCTTGGGAGGGATATAATGAATCGCCGGAGGGAGACACGTCTCTTCGCCGAGGCCGGAACGTTCGAGAATCCTCATCTGAAACTCGACGCTCTTGGGACTGTCCTTGAGGTTGAGCCTGGAATGTTCCATGAAGGTTGAGAAGGGGACGCGACATGTCACCGGAGGCTTGAAGCAGGCGTAATCGACGAGGAAGATGGTGCGAGGCTTGGAGGAGAAGTAAATGGTGGCGATGAAGATGATGATAAACGAAGAACAGAGGATTTGAACGAGGTCGAAGTGAAGAGAATTCCAGAGTTTCAGAATCTCGTCAGGGCCTAAACGAAGAAGCTCGATCATGATTCCGAGCATTATGGGTATGAGAGTGAAGATGAGAATGTGGTTCACAAGGTACTGATAGCCAAGTTTCACGTACTTGAGCCTCACGGAGCTAGAGAATTCCGGCAAGACTGGAGGCATCTTCAAGACTTGAAGAATAGAAGCTGATAATAAATTTAAGATTTGAGATACAGAGACAAGAGAGAAAAGGGAAAGTTTTGAGAAATGAGAAATGAGAATTGAGATTTGAGAATGAGAAGGGAAGGGTTGGGTGAGGATTTAAAGGCGAAGAGGGGCCAAGTTAGATGAAGAGAATAAATGAAGGACGTGACGTCACTCAACGCTCTCTTAACCTTGCTATTAATTGTTCTATTTCATAGCCTCTAATCCTACTTGTTCATGGTTTTACTGGTTATGCCATGGTAAAGACACTTCACATACGTATATTGATGATCCATCTTTGAAATTATGTGACCTCTCTCTATTCATGCCACGTTGCTTGGTTTCATTATTGTTCATTTTGTAGCCCAATATGGTTGTGTTACTTTTAATCATTAAACGTGGGATTTGGAAATCCAAAGTCCAACATTATCTTCGGCTATTACTCCCTCCGTTTTTACATATATAAAAAAAATTATATGATACAGTTTAAAAAAATTAATTAATCATAATAATTATATTTAAAAATAAAAAAATTAGATTAAAATATTCTATATTAATTAACATAAATATATATTAATTATTTTTTGTTAATATAAATTATGAGGGATGATTTAAGAAATGTGTAATAAATGTTTATTGAAATAAGTAATTTTATTTAAATAAAAACCCAGAAAATAATAATTTCTCTTACACATAAAAACAGAGGGAGTACCATTGAGTAACATCGATCATCCTCACCCTGGCACATCCACAATAAAACCGTGTCATGGATTTTCGAGTAAATTAAACAATGAGAAAGATGATTGATTGCTAACGGAACCTAACAAGAGATGTGAGTAAAGTATAGGTTGGCCTCTATTGCAGTTTATAATTTATTTTATTCTACCATTTAATACTATAATATATTTTTAATTAAATTATAGTCCAAATAAATTTGTTAATTGTTTTTAAAATTACACTCTTTTTTCATGTTATCCTTATTTATTAGGATGTTTTGATTAAATTTTTTATTAATTACACCACTTAATTAAGGATATTTTTTTAAAAAAACTCATTAATTGCACTTTGAAAGATTCAAAATGCTTTATATTTTTTAATATCCTACCTCACAAAAATGGCTTAGAGTTTATGAATACATATTTATAGATACATATTGATATTATACATAGATATTGTCTAGATATTAAGTATTACTATAAAGTATTTTTAACTGAATTATACCTTAAATGAGTTAGTTAATTGTTCTTAAAATTATACACTCTTTCTATATTTACTCTTATTTAATAGGGTGTCTCAATTAAAAAGAATTATTAATTACACCCCTAATTAAAAAAAATCTTATTAATTGCATATTGAAACACCCAAAATGCTTTATATTTTGAACACAATACTTTTAAAAAACGTTTTGTAGTAATATTGGAAGTAGGGATTACAGATATTATATGTAGGCAAATATCTATATTCTCCATCTGGTCCTAATTATAGGAAAAAGTTAACTAGCTTCACGGGTTATTAAGAAATGATAATAAAGAATATCCTTATTAAACTTATAAAAATGTTTGACTTTCAACTCTTTTTTTTATTGAAATTGACTTGATGCAATAAGGAGATGGATATATAATTTTTGAAAAACATAATTAACTATTTCTCCCCCAGTCCCTATTATTAGATATCTCTAACCATCACACTATAACTAAGAAAAAATAATTATTAAGTCATTAACTTTATCTTAAAAAGAATAAACGTCCAATTTAACCCATATTTAAATAAAAGGTAAATGTACATTTTTATTCTTGAAATATTCTCTGAGGAGCGTCTAATACCCTAAACTATTTGTTGGAGCAAGTTTTTTCTTAAAATAATTAAAAAAAATATTTTTGTCCTTACCATCAAATCTCCAACATTGATAGCTAGAAATATTAACTACGACTCCAACGTTGATCGTTAAAAAATTTAATGAAAAGGATAAAAATGCTGTATTTTAATTAATTTAAAGGTAAAATTGCTCTAATAAATAGTTTAGAGAACTGGATACTATTCGGAGAATACTAAAAGGGCAAAAATGCACCTTTATCCTTAAGTAAAAAATTTTAAATTTGTATTACATTTTCTGTTATAGTTAATGATTTTAAATAGGGATAGTATTGAATATTGTAATTAATAACATATCAAGTATCTTATATTAAAGATCATCAATCTTTTTATCCTATATTTAGGATCAAATAGGGCTTTAAAATTACGTCATATAATTAGGACCAGGAGGGAGTATGCTATTAGGATGTATTTATATTAGAATTTTTTACAGCAAAGTATCAATACGTAATTAATATTAATTATGACAGAAATTATTCCTTGAAAATTTGTTATATGCCCTAAAATAATGTTTACTTAAATAACTAGTTTTTAAACTCTATATAATGAATTATAATAGCCTAGTAGTCTCCATACATTTGTATGAGATCATGTAAAATGAATTATGTTATTTATATTGTTAATGATTTGCGAATAATTATATCTTCACGCAAGTTTTATAGCTATATTGATGATTTATCTAAGCAATGCATATATCAAAGAATTTATTGTGGTTAAAATTATAATATTGACATGGTCAGGAAATTAAAACATCATTGCGCTTTGACTTCTTCCAATTTGTGAATTCATGGGAAACATAGAAGACAGTAATCTTTCCCATCGGTCCCCACGTTCAAAGAAAAAAATAAAGTCAAAGAAATATGTGTATGTGTGTATGTACAGAGAGATCACATCCATTATGTGTGCATGTAAGTATAGAGAGATCACATCGATTAGTCCGTCATGATCCCACTATATATTCAATTTTTGTCTATGTTAATATAGGGTTTTAAATGAAAAGAACAGTTAAATATATTTGATTTAAAATTTCTGAAATTGAGAATATGTGAATTTCATAAAGTTTGCCTTTAAAAAGAGAAAAAATTTTATGTTTTATAAAGATAATAAAATGAAAAAACATTAAATAAGAAAAATTTCACATAAATCCATGAATCTCGTTTTCATAAGATTTAAATTCCAATATATTAACAACAACTTAATTTCAAGAAAAACATTTTTTATATCAAAATTGTAAGTGTATTTATACAAGGTGCAAGAGAGTGCCCCTTTAGCATTTTCTATTTATGTTGATAACCAAAAGAGTAGCGTAGTAATTGTTGTCCATATAAAGAATATTTATCTATTGTGTCCCATTCTCTATTGATACATTTTATGATTCCCCCCCCCACTGTAATTGCTCTAAATTTAGCGCGAAGCAGTTTAATGAACTTAGCCTCATTATGTTTTCCGAAATTAATTTTTGATTCGTAGAGGAGTAGAGATATTTTCACTATATATAATTAAATTATATTTTAATCAGTTATTTTTTATTATTATGATTAAGAAGATTTATCTATACACGCGATGGATTCCAAAATCTTCTGTGAAATATGTACTAGACGTATTTGTGTATGTGTATTAACGTTTAATTTAAGGTGAATTAATGTATACGTGCACATTGAACTAATGTAGTTAACGTTTAATTTAAGTTTTGGCTATTCAATTTATAATTTTATATATTACTCTCAAATATCGTCAAATTAACCATTTTTTTATTGAAGAAGTTGCTATAATAATCATACGATAACAATTAATCCATAAAGGTGAATTAAGTCGCTGTAATGTTAATCTAAAAACGTAATACAATTGTCTCACCGTTCATATCCGTGTAATCAATTTATACTAAGCCCTAAATGACTAGGTATATGATTAGGTAAAAAATAACTAAGCCCTAAATGACGACTATAGTAATTTTTAACCTTATAATACATGATTGATCCAACGTTGTCTTCTTGAGGTTGATAATGCAAGATTAAGTTTTCTCACATCCACTTAATAATTGGTCAAACAAGTGGCCGGCCAGTGAATATTAAATGCCCTATCAGCTAAGAAAGACAGAGATGGCTGGGAATCATTTTCTTTCTAAATTTATTTTATTTATTTAGTTGGAGTTATGAATGGCTTTATATATATTGTAAAAAATTTAATAAATAAATCATATTATAATTAATACATTCAAAAATTTTATGAATTATTATGAATATTATATTATATTTTATAATATAAGACTCGCTAAAGTGTCAACCTCTTTTTATACATGAATTGAATTGTAAGCATGCGCACTTAATAATTTTTATTTTATTGTAAAGCATTTCGTGTCCTTTTACTCTTTTTTTTTTAAATTTTTTTTATCATTGAGGTACGCAAAGTTTATCATATTTATATCATTATTATACTTAATTATGTCTACATTTTCTCTTATTTATATATTTTATTTTCATAAATAATAAAAAACTTTTTTATCACAATTTTTTTTATTCATTTCAATTATATTTTATTTCATGGATTAACATAGGTTTTCAATTTGCAATGGCATTTACACCACCCAAAACTTTTTCAAAACAAAACCAAGTTTGGGGTCACACATCTCCCCCAAAGCATATTCTTTCCAATTATCGAATGAGTTGCATTTTCTCTTTATCATGCTGATAAACTGCACATGCAATTTTTTTTAATAAAGCGTACATGCTTTTTTCCCTTTGTATTTCATTGAAATGAATCTTTTATATTATTTATAATTTATTAATAATATGTTTTAATATTTATGTTATATAAGATTATATATTATATTAGTTTTTTATTGAAATTTCTAAAAAATTATACTTATTTTTCTAATATTTAAATTAGACCCTATAAATTCTATTCAGAAATGTTATGCGAACATTATGGAGAAATATTGAAAAACAAAGTTATATAAAGCCAATAAAATGTTTAAAACAGATTTAAAAAAAATTAAAATTTCAGTGTCTAAGAGAATTTATACTATTTATAAAATCTGCCAATAGTACTGCTTTTTATAACCTTTACCTCTTCTGTTCCTAAATGTAAGAGCTAGTAGATGAGTCTGTTTTGATCTTAAATGTAAGATCTTAATCTACTTTGTATCCTAAATTTATAATTCTTTTTCCAAACTATCCTATTGATTCCACATATTAAAAGGTATTCCATCAAAAGTGTAGTTT